CATTGCTATAGTTGGTTTAGCTACGTCATCATAACCAACCGTGAGAAATCGAGGGAACGTGGGAACATGGCGCCGTCCGTCATCACCCGGCTGCCCCATTTGGGTCTGGTTGAATTTATGACAGCTTGATAAAAGGGCCTTGTTGGTGCCCAATAAGATGAGAAGAGTAAATAATATTAATAAACCAAAATACTTTTTTCTTTGTAAATACAATGAAATGAGATAAAGATACTTTTCAGGTATAAATTTGAGAAAGCATTTTATAAACTCTGTCATATATTACGAAAATCAACTAGTTATATACAATTCATTTTTGTTCATCCTATTCTTCACTTTTGAAGCACTTTTTTTAAAATTAACTTTACATTTAGTTGTCTATGGCAGGGATGCTAGTACATTGGGGCATTGGGGGTATGTGCACCCTTTTTGTCCGGGTTGCCCTTTTCCCAATTCCAAGAGAACACCGAATTCTATTTTAAACGAACAACAGAAGATTCACGACTTCAAGCCTATTCTGCAAATATAAAAGAAATTAATAAACGATATATGCCTAAGGTCTCTTCGTCGTATGCTTACCAAAATGTAGCTTTGAAAATAATGAATGTTCATTGTTTTCAAGGCCAAATCTCGATTGTAATTAGTGCCACTTTGTTGGAAGCGCTAATCCGATGTTAAATAAGTTTAAAGCTTCGTGCATAATGTATGACATTCTTTTTTATAGCTTGTGCCCCTCCCTTTTTATAGTCTGTAAGCGCAGCTGGTCTATGGCTACTCCAATCGTGCGCGATACCTCCCATAACACTGACTTCTGTTTAAGTGTTAAAAACGTAAATAAAACCTGAAAAACTCCACCTTGCAGTCGTGAAATCCGGAGTCGTGAGGTCGTGCCTTTCCAACGGGCGTTGGAGAGGCCTTTCCAACGGGCGTTTCCAAACGGGCGTTGGAGAGGCCCGACCGCACGACTGGTTTCTCTAATTCAGTTGTTCACTAGTTCACCACTAGTCCACTGGCGAAAGCTCCATTCTTGTTATTCGTGAAAATTATAAGTGCAAAAATTAAATAAGTTTCCATGAATTGAAAATAGTTTCGAATTTTAAATCTTTGAAATTCTGTAAAATGTTTGTCACTTAACACATGAAACACATATATTTATATAACAGTTTAATATAAAATCCGTAATTAAAAAAATTGTAAACATTTGGGTGATATCAGATTCCTTAAAAACAAAAATTATACACGTGACAAGTTTAGACGAATCACAGCGCCCGCTGGCGTTGTTTTAGGTTTAATCCGGTTGTATATGACCACTGACCACTCGCGGTGGACCCGGATTCGATTCCGGATCTCCTAGAGCTGTAGGCTGACTCATTAAATTGAAATAACTGAACTTGCAAAATTGTATAAAACATCAAAATACGTAAAGAATCAAAGTTAGCAGCTTTCATAGACTATGGCCTAGAAAATTATGAATCGCCTACAGATAAACTGAAAAATCAGCAGAAAGGATTACTGATTAAAAAATTGCTGATTATATTTGCCAGTTATTACAGATAAACTTTATTTTTCGTGTAACCCCTAGAAATGCTTCGCGTATCCCAGTTTGAGAAACACTGCTATAGAATATTACAGAGAGGACGTCTCATTCCATAACACAGGGGAAATGAAAGACGACCAGGTGAGGGAATAAGCTTCAATTAGCTGTAGAGAGTTCGATGTTGTAACAGATTCCTATATTATGCACAAAACGTGATACTTGAAAGGGCATTAACCCGTGTTATATATCAGATTTGGTAATAAATAGGGTGAGATATTTACGTATAAGATTCAATATTTTGAAATAAACAAGATCACAGTATAAACAGTGTCATTATATAACAATTAGGTATTATAACAGCACTTAAAGAAGAATATTCACTAGCATACATGTAAATTCAGGTGAAGTATACGCCATTTTGATCTTTCTCTTTTTTTCATTTTGCTATTTGGTATAGAATTATTGCTAGATTCTTACCTTGTGTTAAGGTATTTTATGGTACACCTATTACAGTAATATATTAAGGTACTGTACGTACTGTACTTTAAGATAAACGATATTTATTAGTTATTAAAATAATTAAATGATGCTTTAAAAAAATATCTATAGCCAAATTTCATTTTAGCGCCATCATTCCTTTATCTCTAAAATCAGTACTAAATCGCGAGTGATGCTAAACTTAAGAAACTTAATTAAACTACTGTATTAGAATTATGTAGTACATAATTCTAATACAGTACATAGTAAGAGATCTACACAGAGTGATAACAATGTGACTTATAATATACTGAATTCTTCTGTTAATGGCTTTCGAAAGAAGTAGTCACTGTTGAAAACAATGAAGCTTCTATTTAGAATAATTGAATTATCGTGTGAACAGTCGTTCAACCCTTTTTACTAAAAGTTGAGATACTGTGAAAGTGTGTACGCTAGTTTTTCATATTTCTTTGTAATACCTGTTTTGTTTCAATTAATACTACAACGAAACCCTAGGAATTTTCATTGTCTTTAGATACAATATATTTAATACAAGTATGGCATTGTTAATTCATTTTCAACGCACACGAGAGTTAGACCTCAACCTTTCAATTGTTTTTAAGAAGAAAATTCCAAATGCTTCTTCTGAAATCTTTTTTCACCCTGTGGGCACTAAGGCTTCTTTTCAGGCCGTCTTGGATTCGGCCAGACCTACAATGGAGCTGTCGAATGATGAAAGATGGGTCCGACATATCCGAGACAGATATTCCCCGAAAAATTCCTGGGGTGTTTTTCGATCTTTAGTATTCAATCCTGAGTCGTTCGTAGCTATAGGCTGATGACTAACTGCCTCAGCTTTTCGGCCGTCCGATGGGTGGGATAAAAATAGTCTTAATGCCATCAGGGCAACGGCTGTATACTGTTAAGGCGTCCTCGGATCCTCGGAGAACCCGGGATTGAACCGCAGAAATTTTTCATGGGCGTTAAGTCTCGGATATTCCGAGTCTCGTCCCTCCACCTAGTTGCTTTCTCTGTGGTTCTGGCTGTCCATGAAAAATTCTTAGGACTGCTCGCTTGGATTCGATTTGTAGCCCCTCAGAGTAGAATGGTGGCGCCTTGCCCATCATCAAACTGCTTCCTTAGTGCTCACAGGGATGGTCAATTGGCCCAGCGGTTAAAATATTAGCTTAACCACTCTGGGAATGATGGATTTATGGAGAGAATCATCTAACACTGGGATCTGAAAAAACTCATTGTGCCGAGGTCGACCGGAAGTTCATGGCGGGAGACCCTGCTCCCGCCTACCTGATAATTCACTGCTACCTGTGGATTATCGGGTAGGGCCGTCGCAACTTCTTCAACTTCAGCAGCCGCCACGAAATGCAAACTTCCGTTGGAGCAGGTATTTAATTCTTAGATAAGCCTATATTAGATTAGCTAGTTGGTGTAATGGCTTACCAAGGCAATGATCTATAGCTGATCTGAGAGGATGATCAGCCATTAAAGTCCCGGAAAACGCTAACACTCGTGGAAAATCAGACAGTCAATTCCGGGCTATCTAGAGTGGCAAGCCGAAGCCAAGCCACTGCGGCCATACGGCCGACCCGCTTTCAGGATCTTAGACTAAATTCAGACAGGTCAAAAAACCCAAAGAAATTTTTCATGGGCAGTCTGTCCGGGATATATCGGGCCTCATCTCTGACCATCCGGTCGCCTTATTGTGGGCATAGCCAATGGATATGGATTAAAAGACCATCTTAGTGCTCACAGGGCTAACAGCCATAAAACGAGAAAAAAAGTCATATCTATCGTGGGTTCGATCAGGCTCACAATGGAGACAGCTGTCTGGTGAGAAGTGGAACTCAACATATCCGAGACATATCTTTCCCATAAAAAAGACGGCTGAAGTTCCTGACCTAAACCGAACCCCGGTCTTACATACTGTCAGGCTGACTTCTTTACTACTTCGACTATCTTGTCATTTTAAGCAATGGTCACACCTAGCGATTTCTCGTCGCTCAGGCAATTGCAACAAGCGTGAGTTGCACGTGTCTTGTCGTGGCTCCTTGGCGTTGCAACTCGGAAACACATGACCTTTTAATAAATCAACATCCATTTTGTTTGCTGTCTTCTACATTTTCTTAATCCGAAGGAATGTCGTTCGCAGATGATAGTAGCTTTCACTTAATTTTGTATCTATATTTAAAATAATATTGTCGTTACTAAACTAAAAACAATCAACATTTTATATCCAGAAATCTAAAAATGGTATTTTCAATGGTAAAACTTTCGCTTAGTACTTTCTGTGTTCTTTTATCTTTTCTTCGATAAAACGAAGAATTGAAACACTGCAGGCATTCGTGAACCTGAATAAGCTTGTTCTAAAGCTGTACCGGTATTCTCACTTTTCACCATGATGATAACTATTTTCAAATTAACCCGAAACGTGTATCAACCAAAAAAGGAATAAATAAGGAATGAAAAAAACTGCCTAGTGTCTGATTTATTGCACTTCATCGTGCTGGAGAAATAGAGAAAACAGGAATACACGGTTTCAAATTTGTAAATAACTATTTTCAAAGTTTCCACCGTGTGATGTGCCCGAATAATGTGGCTGATTGGATGCGCATTTGCTATTACTAAAACAAACCTTTTGTTTCCAGTTGAGCTTGTGCAGTCTCGGCGGGTTTTAGGAGGGGTTTACAAGTTATCTGGAAAAGCCATCGCGGTTGCATTTGCCTGAGTGGCTCGAAACTGTAAGGTGTGACCTCGGCTTTTGTTTTTCTAAAAATATTTCAAATATTCTCTTAATATATAAATTATTTTATGCTAAAATTATATATTTAAAAACAATGCCATTTTACTCATCTTTAAACGGATAGATTTCATATTAATTTCACATATCTGTTCATTGTTCTATCAATTAATTTCGCATATGTATTCATGAGTTCGCGCCTTTGCATATCTACAGAGGCGCGAACTCATTTTAATTTAATGTATTATTGTTAAATATGTAAGAAAACATTATATAAATGATAACTAGATGATCGACAAGTCAGGCATAAATTTAAAACTTCAATTTCAGAAAATGTGAATTGTAAATTCATAAAACTTTCACAAAAATACTCAAAACGATACTAGACTTTTTTGAAGTACTGTACAAACATTTTATGTAAATTTTAGTTGCAATTTCTGCCACTGACTGATACTCATTTGTAATGCATGGTCTTAAGAAGATTCCTTTACAAGTCACTTTTGCCTCTGTGACATCACGTAATGATTTGACATCGGAATGCCCGAGAGGTTAAGGTGGTTGTTTACTGCTATGAGAACTGTGATCGAATCTGAAAGGATTGAAAAACCACAGGAATTTTTCGGGGAGTGGTCCATCCGGATATGTCAGATCCCGTTCTCTGCCATCCGGCAGTCCCATTGCGGGCCTGACCGAACCAATAATGAGCTTGCTAGAAAATGCTCTGTTACTGCCCACGGAATAGAGAGTTAAAAAAAATCACATAGTGCCTTGTCTTGTATCATCTAGTTGGGCATAAGCTTCTAGGCAATACCGCCCGTGGTAAAGTGTGACGTAATTGTCATGTAATAGTATTGTAGTTGTATGCGTTTATGATGATCGTTACGCAGGGATTAATACTTTTTGGGAGATATTTTAAGAGTAACTGGCCCCTATTCAAGAGTTATAGACGTGGAGAAAACCCAGAAAACTCCACGTGGCCAGCCTGTCCGGGCGAGGCGCGAACCCACGACCGAACTCCCAGTGTTCAGGGAACAAAACCGCTTGGTCACTAGTGGGTCCACATAGCGTTATTTTTTATGACATCAAATGGCGTTAGTGTCAAAAACTCCGCTAAGTGTCAGAAATTGTACGTAAATTGTGGATAAAATGTTTGTACTTAAAAAATCCAGTGTCTTTCTTAGTACTTCTGTGAAAATCGCGTATATTTAGAATGAAAATTCGTTGTGACATGAATTTGAATTGTGCCTAAGTTTTGGATCATCTTTGCATTTTTAAAATACAATTAATTTTAATACGTTTACATTATCTTTCGCTTCTGTTTTTGTTTACTTTTAAACAGTTTGCTCTACGAATATGCTTTATTATTTAAATAATTTCCAAAACCTTTGTCAAGAAAAATGGGAACGAATCTTTGAATATTTTAATGAAGACGAATATAACCTTATGGTCTGGAGTAGGTAGCTATTGCTAGTTTATTTACTTTAGGTAATTTATTTAATTTTGTATATTATATAGGTACATTTATTATAACAACCGCACTTTATTGGACGTTGGGCCTCTTCTACACATTCCTAGACGTAACAGGAAAACCGGGTATTTTGACTCGCTACAGAGTACAGGATTCTTCAAATTATCCTGTAAATTGATTACAGTTATGCTAATTAACTACTTTATAAAATTAATTTTTTATAGTTTTCATTACGTCGAACTTATTAACATATTTAATTTCTTCTTCGTAATAAAATGTAATTAAATGTAACATTTCTTTTTCTTTTCCAGGTGAAATTATTGAGAATTTATCGTATCATAAAGCAAGTTTTATTTAATCAAATTTTTGTTGGTATTCCATTTAACGTTGTTGCTTATAAATTGGTAAAATGGAGAAACATCAACAATTGGATCATATTGCCACCATTGCAATGGATTGCATTTGAAATTTTGATATTCACAGCGGTTTATGAAATTGGATTTTTCTATTCACATTGGTAAGAATCGCATAAATATAGTTAAAATTTGATGTAGCGCTCTCCGAAATAATGCTCTGGTGAAGTACTAACGGATACACGTAAATGGATCATCCCCTTACATGTTAAATATCAAAGTGTTCAGTATCTGTGAACTAATAAATGTACGGTACTATTTTGCATTGCTTACTACATCGGAACATACTGAACCAACTATCAGTGTTCAGTGATTTTATCCAATTGGCCACTGGTTTTTTGTAAAAACCCTCCCTTTCTGCTCTGTGGGAGAGCCGTTTTAGTAAGTCCATTACGGGCTCTGCCAGGCCACAATAGGGTGACTGGTTGATGAAAGGTAAGGTCCAACATATCCGAACGGACCAACCCGTAATAATTTCTGCAGTTTTTGACTCGTCCGGATGTGGTTCCGGCTCCTCACAGCGATAAGGTGTCACGTTGATTGCTCAGCCATCTGGCCATCACTTGGGTACTGGTGGACCAACTGGATAAATTCACTGACTATTGGTACTGTAGTTAGACTCGGGTTCGAATCGAGTAACAGAATGTCTGCGTAGTATATTCTGAGTTATTTTCGCGTGTCTAACATCAAACTAGGGGGAAATTTTTATAGGAAGGTCCTTCGTATAAAAATTTCTGTAGGAATAGGAAAGTGTTAATAGGAAAATTATATATATAGTAATGTTAAAATATTCTCAAATAATATTGAAATTACAGAATGATTAACCCATTTTGCACGTGAGCACTGGGAAGATATTTGCCTCGTGATTATTATGGATTCACCATAGCACAATGGTAGCGGCCGGGTGAAGAGGAATTGGTGATGACCAGAGAATCATTTAGTCTTGTTGTACCCTATGCTGCAATATACAGGAAGCCGTTCCTCCTTTTCCAAATAATAATGGGCAATATGTATAAATTGTCTTGGAATAGAATAAGACTCTAAGCTATAGCTTATTTGTTTTATACGAAAATACGTTCTGTGCCCGACATCCGACCATGAAAACAGTCTGGGTTTAGAAACCTCACGAATCCCAGATATTAGCATCAGCCTGAAGCTTTTACTACCTCAACCAATTTAAGGATTTCTAAAGTTCTTTATGGAAATTTTTCACAATCTTACATTCATTTTGCAATAATTCTTCAATATTTATCTATAGTTTTATAGTAATTTATTTATTAGTTTTCTGAATTGCATGGCGACAATAAATATTATCAGTATATATCTTAAAAAATAGGGATTAATTGATAAAACTTTAAAAATTTTATCGTCATATAAAGATTTATCAATAAAGTAGTAGAGTAATATATCATTGTGATACTACTTTACAAGTATTGTTGTAAAACAACAATAATCCTAGGCGTTGTATTTTATAATCTTAATAATATTAAGCTTTATGCCTTCTCATAATAATCTTTTCTTTGGAATTTTATAGGTTATTGCATCAACCAAAGCTATATAAATATATTCATAAGCAACACCACGAATGTACTACACCAATTGCTATATCAGCTATGTATTGTCATCCAGTCGAACATGTTTTATCAAACTTGATTCCACTTTTTATGGGTCCTCTTCTTATGGGATCTCATTATGTAAGTCACCAATTATGGTACATCATTGCCGTTTTATCAACTATAAATGATCATTCTGGTTATCATTTTCCTTTTATTCCGTCGTGTGAAATGCACAACTTTCATCATTTAAAGTGAGTGCCATGATTCATTCTCTGAATATTTATCTAGTTTACTACTTTCATAAATTTTTCTTTGTTACAGATTCAAGCAGAATTACGGTATGACAGGGATTTTCGATCGTTTGCATGGAACTAGCACGCAATATCGAAACAGCAAACAGTTTCAGCGTCATTATATATCATTTTCATTTGTTCCCGTAAAAGATTTATATCCAGATGATTAGGAATGCTACCCACAATTAATTAATTAATAATTTTCGACTTATGAAAAAAAAATTGCACTTTTTATATAATAATACAGTAGAGCGTCGTTTATCCGAAAGTCGGTTATTCGAAACGTCGGTTATCCGAAAGAATTCCAGTCGGCCTAAAGTATAATTTTTATTTGTTTTTATATTTTTCAATGTATGTATTTCGTTTGTAAAACATAAAGAAATCATTTTTAACGATACAATAGCCACGATTATTATTTTAAAAAGTTTACATTAGGCTTAACATCGACGAAAATTCAACGCAAAGCGACACGCAACGGAAAAAAATTTCAACACGGGATAGGTAAATATATTTTTTCGTACATAATCGGTTATCCGAACAACCCCAGTCCCCAATTGATTCGGATAAACGACGCTCTACTGTATATTCTATTAGCAAATGCGCAGCGCAATTGTGCCTCAAATAAATACATAATATAGTCTGAAAATATATGATTTTTAATTTATAAATTTGAGATTCTTTCATCCTTGATCAAATTATGTACATCGTTTTCAAAGTTTCTTTAATTAATAATTAGTTTTCGAGGCAATTTAAAAAACATTTATTCTTTGAATCATTTTGAAATCTGCCACCTTAAAAAAGAATCGAAAATAATTCCATGCGATACCAAGGAGCAGGATGTGATTGATCATTTAATCAATCTGACTCCGTTCGATGTATATATAATTTGATATGTGTGTGTGTGTATATATATATTAACTCTTTTCACCCATTGGTTAATGAACTGAAATGGAACTGAGGTACATAGAATCGAATCAGGACGAATCGAATAACATAAGAGATTTTTCAGAAATGGTTCATCCGAATATGTCTGAACCCGTCCCACACCACCTGGCCGAACCCCTAATTGGCTTGCTAAAAAAGATTTTCTTAGTGCCCACATAGCAAAAAGAGTGAGAAAAAAACTCTTTTCGCCTTATGGGCACAAAAAGTTTAATTAAGCCAATCGCATGTTCGAAGAATACCTTTTAATCAAGCTCGTCATGGGTTCGGTCAGGCCGACAATCAGTGGCCGGATGATGAGCCCAATAGAGCACATTACACTAATTAAACTGTGACGAATCGCAGCACTCCATGTCGTGCGATCTGCAATTTTCGGTAATTCACTTCTGAGTAATCTTCTCATTCAAATCATGGGCTTTTCTTTCCATTTATTCTTAGAATTTTTTCAGAATTATAATAAAAATAACTACATCATAGAAGAAAGGAGGGAAGTTTTCGGAATGAGAATCGAACTTCGTGATAGAAACATTATACAGTACTTAACCGGACAATTCTTCAACCGCGCATATAAAAGTATACAACCATAATATAAAAAATATTTATATTATATATTATAATACTTTTGTCGCACATTTCATATTATATTTTTAAAGTTAAAAATTTGTAATTTAAAATAATTTAATTTTCCATTAAATTAAATGTCATCCGCTAGGGGGACAAAAACCGTTTCAAAATGGTGGCCATCATGAAAATTCTGTTCGAAGTGGATTTTCATTAGTAAACGTCGGTTAGTGTTTTGTTAAACATCGTTTTATAATTATAATAAAAAAAATACCTGGTATATGAATAAAATACATAAATATAGCGAAAAGTTAGCATATTATACAAAAAAATTTGTGGAATTACTCAAATTTTCATGAATATATAACGAAATGAATTAAATTTTTACTGTATACTTCACATTTAATTATTATATGCGTGTAGAAACAACCTGCTTTCTTGTCTGTGTATATAAATTATAATTCGAGCTATAAATGTAGCTCTGAATGAGGGGGTTGGACCTCAGAGGTGTACACCAGGACCACAGCAGTAAATAAGTGGCCCAATATCAGATTTCAGAGCCCCCTAGACACTATCAGTTAGTGTCTAGGGGGGTCTAAAATCTGGAACCACAACCCCCCATTCAGAGCTGCAATTCTACCAATCAAGATGTTATGTAAATAATAATTAAATGTATTTAAGCACATTGGATATAAATTAATCAAAAATTATAAATTTACTTAAGCAAATCTGACATAATAATAATAATAATAAAATTTTGCAGATTAACGCCCAGTTTTGTCAATGTTCTGGAACTTTTTACCATAATATTGAAAGTATTACATTCCGGTAATTTATGACATTTGCACTCGCTTTTAGTAAATATTTGTCAAATACACATTTAATTCTTATGATGATGATACTTCAGTTATTCATTAATTATCTATAGGATTTGACTGTTTAGCTTGATGATAGTTGATTAAAGTAGCTGGAAATGTTAATTTGCTCTAGGAACTTTCTGGATATTAAAGATTTGAACTTACACAAAATCAAAATATTAATATTCTGCTTTGATTATATCAATGTTTCTCAATTCTCAAACTAACTGGTGATGTGGACCTGGAAGTGGTTTTACTAGTGTCTGATACCATGTTTTTGCCATATTACTGTATTCAAATATCATTGTTTCACATAACAGGATCTTTTCATTAGGAGCATTTACAGGGTGTCTAAAAAATACACTGCATAACCTCAGGAAAGAGTTACTCATATACGGACAATAAAAATAATTTATATCAACAACACGGGTCCAGAAATGCTTGGTTTCAGAGTTTTGAGGGTCTGTCTGTGAAACATAACTCTTCACATCACCTTACAAAGGTGTGTCTGGGTTTCTGAGTTATTAATGGGTCTTATCTCCCACATGTGATGTCGATATAAACTATTTTTGTCTACAGTTGAGGAACTCATTCCTGAGGTTAATCCATGTATTTTTGAGACATCCTGTATACTGTAGTACTATGACATAACTGGCAATATTATATATATTTGAAAATGTGGTGTTATTTTATATCACATTTTCTTCAAATTTTTGTGCACAGATACTGTTCATGGTCAACTACTTTGAATAGCACTGGATTAGATAATTGTTGCAAGCTTCATTTGTTGTTAATGCTTTAATGAGTTAAGAAAATACAAAAGTACTACAAGTGTAATTCATTATTTAATATTTTAAACCATTTTATTAATATTATATCCATGACTATGATTGTTTAAAAGTTAATAGTTAGTTACTGTTTTTTTTTCTTACAATAAACAATGTTTTATATATATAATTTATCTGTATGCATGTACTGTTCACAAAGTCTTGTGCATTTTAAAACTGCAATAATGTAAGTTCTATCCAAAATAAAAATGAATGAATCACTAGAAAGATAATTTATTCTAGTTTTTATGGATAAATATAATAACTGAATTTATTCTAATTAAGTTGTTTTAATTTTCATTGGTCTAGTGAATATAAATCAATCAGTTTGTTCTCATTAAATTTTTTCCTTGGAGATATGTTTAAAATATTATTTATTTTTAAAACTTTATTTTTTTTAAATGATCATATCATAATCACAAAGTCAATGCAGTAACTGAAACATAATGGATGAATATGTTTACAGAATTGCAAAATTTTACTATGCTTTGTATCACTACTAACAAAAGTTGCATTAAATCTTAATACTTTTATAATTGTATACTGTAGAAACTAGAATAAATTATTCAAAAATAAACTATTTAAAACGATGGAGTCAGATTAATTTTCCAATCTTACATAATTGTATTGTAGAAAAATACACAAAAATTCAAATTTTTTTTATTTTATTTTCATATCTAATTAATTAAAGTGTTTTTCTCTGCAAAGTTGGTTTGTTTTACCTTTTTTTAACTTTAATTTTATCTCATTATTAACATAATGTTTTAGAATTTGGAAGTCTTTTATCCTCTGTAAGTCAGAAAAGAAAGAAAATTTGAATTTTCATGTATATTTCTATAATACAATTATGTAAGATTGGTAGAATAAATTACTTTTCCAATGCATTTTACACATCATTTTTATCTTGAATAAAATCAAAGGTTTTGCAGTTTTAAAAACACAAGGACTTTTTAATACATGCAATATAATTATTGTTACATCATTAAAAATATACTGAAATACCTCAGATAGTGCAGTTAATGTTTTTTAGAATATTACTACATTAATTGAATCCACACTAATCAATAAGAGGGATGAGACAGCTGGAGATTTTTCCCCAAGTCCAGAGAAAATTTAGAGGACCATAGTAGTTCCTGCCTGTATAAATTAGCATTATTTTTACTAATGAAAATAAAATTGTTTGATTGCTTTTTATTAATAAAGAACCATTCTATGTATATTATTTGCTTTTTCTTTTCTGTATGAAGCTCCTGATAACAGATTTTACATTTTCTAATGCTCTTTGTGTAAATGTTGTTATTTATCTACATCAGTGTATATCACTCCAGTCTATGAAAAAATTTCACCGGTCCACAGAAAAATATTTGACTGTTGACTACAGGTGACAGTTAAATAGTAATCTAGAGTTATTGTGTGTATTTTATTACAAACAGTAACTCTACATAAGCATATAGTTGCATATTACTGATCCACTATCCATAATTTTACCAGTTTGTGATGAGAAATAGATTGAGAAACACTGATTTAGACCATTATTCAAGATTATGCCAGAAGCTAATCTTTTAAAAATATGTACCAAATTGTACAACACCAAATGGTAGCAAGTAGGTAGTGAGGAATATTTGGCTGGACTGAGTTCTGCTAATCAAACTAGTTTACGCTAGCATAAAACCAACTTCCAGTATTTTGAGTTTTTGGCTCTGTTCAGAGGCTCTCTTCGGGTGAAATAACAAAAGTTATAGTAAGAGAACAGAATATTCGAATAGTTTAGAACATTTCAAAGCTCAATAGAACTATAACTCTTGTTATTTCACCTGAAGTGGGCCTATGAACAAGGCTGAAAATATTTGTGATTAAATACCTAATGCACTGGAAGTTGCATGGTAAGCGTAAACTAAATCTATATCTATATATATATATAAAAATGGACATGTATGTCCCTATATTTCACTTTTCCGCCAAAACTACACATCGCACGTGAATGGTGTTTGTATGTGGTGGTAGCCCCAAGTCTCCATTCGTGCATAGGGGTGGTTGCGTCTCAATAGCTATAAGGGTGCGGGAGATATGAGGCTGAAAGTGGTTGAAAGTGGTTTTCTATTTCGAATGTTTTGTTC